GGCAGAAGTGCATTCAGGGCTGATATGTTTGAGCATTTCATAACTAATGCCTATAGGATCACAGGCTTTATTGTTAGAAAGCTGAGAAAGAGTTTGAAAGAATTCTTCATTTGTAATAGAAGAGTTTAGGGATTGGTACCAAGTTGGATTGATATAAGAGAGTGGAAGATAATGTTGTTGCTAAAAGTTATCAAAGAGAGTTTGATTAATAGATCTAAATGCAGTCTAGTTATGAAAATGTGATTAAACATGCTGTTTAATGAGTGATAGGTCAGTTATAAGCTCATTAGACAATTTTCTCTTGAAGAAATAAACAGGTTGATGATAGCGGTTAAGGATGCTATTGATAGCTTGTATGGGATGTAATGTAAGATAATACATCTTTTGTCAGTAGCTTTGTTGATTTGTTGTCTAAGTAGAAGAGAGTTTTCAAAATGACAAGCATGAAAAAATTGTTTTCAAATAGAGTGAGCATGTTGAAGCCATGGTTGAGTACAAGATGAGTTGATGGAGTTAAGTAATTGAAGGTCACATTGTGACTGTTTGTTAATTTGAGAGATATTTTGATTAATATTGGAGATGTCAGAGTATGTATGTATTTTTTAACAAGTTTAATAGTATGACCAAGTTTTTTAAGGGATAAATGTAACAGGATACTGTGAGGTAAGTATTGATGGTTGTAGCTATGTTTATGAGAGACTTTATTAGGAATAGTGTGAGTAGCAGAGTAGATAATTGAGCATTGAATTTTGTGCCAAGTTGTTTTAATGCTTTCATTAGTTGCACTATTAATAGGAGTTTTGTGTTGTAAGAGTTGTTAAGATAGAGTATCTGCAAAGAACTCCTAGTTCTCTGTAGACATAACTTTGTAGTTAAAGATATGCCAGCTAATATCAGTATGTTTTTATAAAAGTTTGCTGTAGGCATAAGGAAATGTCCATGTAGAGGTAAGAATTAGATGGTTACTGAAAGTTGAGGTTTGACTGTTATTAAGACTATAGAAAAGAAGAATTGTATATTGAATTGATTAGTCCAAATGTAGTCAATATGACTACTACTAGTAGAGATGCGATCCGTTGATCTGCAATCCGGATAATCTGTTCAAAATCCGTATTTTCGTGTAACTGTTCAATTTGGCATGCAGGTTGCAGATCATTCGTTCAATCCATTCAAACATGCAGATTGAAGATCATTCGTTGAATTCTTTCAAAATTTATAATCCGGTCAAAATCTGTTCAAAATTATGCAAATCGCAAATTATTTGTTCAATCTGTTCAATACGTCTGCTCTGCTAACCTAAAAAGTAAAGTTATAAATTCATAGTTGTGTATTGTAATAATGCCAAAATAGGTAAGACTTTATTAAAAATTCTAAAATTCGAATTCACATGAAAAATAATCAAATACAACAAAAAGGAAAAATTAGTTGCTCATGCACGAAATAAAAAAAAAAAAAATGAATATAGAAATAATCAAATGTGACAAAAAGGAAAAATTAGTTGCATATTTCATATTAAAGTTCTGGACCCAATTATATGAGAATCTAATTCTAAATTATTCGTTGAATTTGTAAAAAGATATGATATGATGAGAATTCATAAAATCTATTGGAGTATCTCAAATTTGAATTAGTAATAATTTGAGAGTTCTATATCACATATCTGAAAGCCTATTAAATAAATTTTCTGTAATTTGTGAAAGAGGTAATTCATTTGTGCACTAATTTGTTTAAAAAGTTTAATTATTTATATTTAATCACTTATCTTCAATTTAAAAGTTAAAAGCATATTGTGATATTGGCAATAAAACTCAACATTTTTAAGGTGTTACGGGATATCAAAAGAAAATTTTTCTATATATTTTCTTGTTAACTTTGCCAAATTATATGTATGTATATGTCTTAAGTAATATCCTTTTTTCGTTTATAATACTATTGGGTATCAAGAGAAAACCATATCTTGTAAAGTTTATTATTTATTATTTGCTAAACTCAGCCTTATATATAATATAAAAGTGAATTTAATAATGTACTATATGTATGTCATCAGAGCTAAATATGATAAATAATAATAAATAATAAACTTAAGTCTAAAGGCTAATTTTTCTTTGGCATTACTTATTTAATAAATATGAACCATGAATTATTTAATATTATTTAATATTATAGAAAAATATCTCTCAATAACGAAGATAATACCGAAGTATCAACTCATAATGAGGTGTCTGATCAATACAAATCGAATAATAAGAAAGTTAAGCATAATGATACACGTGGAGGAAGTGAAATTAGAAGTTGGATCTGGCACTATTTTAATCCAGAATATGAGAACAATATAAGAGTTGCGATTTGTAAAGTTGAAACAGTTAAAGGAACAAAATGTGGTAAAAAATACAAGATTGTTACATCTAAAAGTAATTGCACTACTCATCTTAATAATGCTCATAGCATAACCGAAGAGCAGACTAATTTTAAAAATAATTCAGTTTCTGTTAAAACACCTCACAATGAATCACGACAACTTGAATTGTGTTAGTACCTTACGGATTAGATAATAAGTGATTCTCAACCACTTACTGTTCTGCAAAATAAAGCTTTTAAAAAATTTATAACAGAATTGGATTCTAACTTTCAAATTCCAAATGTTAAATATATTAAAAAACTTATTCATCGTGCGTATAATTATTCTTTCCCATTAATAACTGAAAAGTTAAAAGAAGCTACATCAGTATCTTTAACATGTGACTTCTGGATAGGAAGAAATAGGCAAGGATATCTAGGCATAACATGTTCATATTTGGATAATAATTTTCAATTGCATGAAATTACGCTTACTGTTGAATATGTTCGTTATCCACATACGGCTGAAAATATTAGAGATATTATACTTTCACTCTTAGATGAATTGGAATTACATGACAAGGTGTTTATGATAACTACTGATAATAGTCAAAATATGCAGAAAGCTATTAAGGATCTAAAATGTTCAGCAAGAAATATAACTTGGCAACCATGTATGGCACATACTTTGCAATTAATAATCGGAAAGGGATTAAAACCCGTTGAAATTTTAGTAGGATGAGTAAAACGTCTCATCGATTTTTTTCTAAAACCTAAGCAATCTGAACGATTACAGGATATTCAAAAGTGTTATTTAAGCTCTAATGAGGTTTACAATTTTTTTTTTATAATATACATATAGTATACATTATAGTATGCTGAGTATATACAGCTAAAGCTGCACAAACTATAAATATATAGTATCCTCAAATACAATATGATGAGTATTAGTACGTACATAATCGTAACCGATTTGAAAATAGTTAATAAAAATCGACTTAGTTAATTAAGTCAATTTTTTGACAATTTGACATACTTAATTCTTGGCTATATATATAGAAAAAGAGATAAAATTTTGTGAAGCGATAACATTAAATTGCCATATAACTAACCATATAACTAACCATATACTTTGTAATACGTATTTATAAGATAGCAGCGCAACTGCATCACACTAAAATCAGAAATATATCATAATAAAAATTATATATAAATTAAGCATTAGTCATATAACTATTTTCTAATCAGCTATATATTATACTCAGATACTATTGATTGGGATACTTTTCACTAAGAGTACTATAATATGCGCTATATAGTACTAATTTAATTTTTATTTATTAAAAATTTATATATTTTATTTTATTTTTTTCTTAAGGAACTTGCTATCGTATGTCTTTTATTTTATTTAATTATTTAATTATAAATTTTTATTTAGATATTTTTTTAACTTAGGATGCCGGTAAAACATCAAAATATTTAAGGCATGTAATCGCTGATGTATCAACCCATTGGAATTCTAGCTATTTGGCGTGGTGCAGACTTTTAGAATTAAAAGGATATATTCGCATACTTGAAACTAATTTAGCTAAAGATAGTAATCAAGATAGTAAGAAAGATTCTCAACAATTAACTAAAATAATGTTAACAAATGATGAATGGGATTTGCTTTGTAATCTTATTCCAGTCTTAGGCCCTTTTGAAGAAGTAACTAGATATCTTGGTGGTAGTAACTATGCTACTTACAGTATAATGAGTCCTTTATTAATCACAATTCTTAAGATGCTAAAACCCGCTTCATTAACAAATGAAACAAATGAAATAAATATTGAAAAAATTGAAGATATTTTTGTAGAAATCGATGAACAAGATATGAACAAACAAAAAAAAATGGATTTAGATGAACCAATGCAAACTTCTAATACATTAGAAAAAGTGAAAGAAACACTATATCGTGCAATGCTTTTTTATTGGAAAAGAGATATCACTTCATATTTACCTTCTATTCTCGATCCATGTGTTAAAAAAATAGAATTTGCACCTGATAAGATAGATGAGATTCAAGAATTATTAAAAAATAAATATTATGATATGAAAAATAATTCAAAAGTAAACCCAACTACAGCTTCGACATCTACAACATCAGCACAAAACTTATCAAATATATGTTCTTTTCCTAATTCTACATTGACTACACTTTACAAACCTATACTTTTCAATATATTTAATAATTTACCAACTGTCAATTCACAGAGCGAACTTGATGAATATCTTGCGGTCTCACAAATACCTATCAACTATGATCCATTTGCATGGTGGAAAACTAATAAGGAAAGGTTTCCTATGCTAAGTAAATTAGCATGTACATACCTCTCTGTTTCAGCCACTTCAACACCATCTGAAAGGTTATTTTCAGATTGTGGAAACATTATAGGTCCTAAAAGAACTCACATGAGCCCAGAGTTCTTTAAAAGACTGGTATTTTTAAAAAGAAATTATGATGTTTTGGATAGCATTCATCCACCATTAGCATAATAGTAAAATTAATATTCTGGATCAATATAAGGTAACCTTCCAAAAATCTATCATTCTCTTGTTTAAAAAATTGTATTGAAAGGCCTAAATCTATAATGTATGCACTATGCAGATCTCAGTAAATAAGGCCTTAAAAATTACTTTGAGGTCAAAAGCTATGCTAAGTAACAAGATCAAACTTGTTCATCTATTTCAATAGAATTAAATAAATTTACCTTACAAAGCTTTGCGTTCACTCTTTAATTCAACTTTATTTTCATGTACTAAGGCAAGACTAACTTGAATCTGTGTTTTACATTACTCTCCCTCCAAACCTTCCTGCCTCCTTCTTAGTAAAAAAAAAAATTTAGGTATATATAAAATTTTCTAGTCACTGATATTTCAAAAAGGTTTGAAGCTGGTAATGATCTAAAAAGACCCAATGTAGATGATGAATGAACTTAAATATGAGCATGGTTAGCTGAAATGTTCTGAAATAAAATAATTTTTGAAAATTACATTTTCTATATATAATATGATCAAACCTGCCTCACTCCTTTCTCAGGAGAGAGAGAGGAGTAACATAAAACACAGAATCAAGTTGGTCTCGCCTAATTAATCCATTAGCATTGTCCATCTCTATAAACTTGATAATATGTATTTATTCTTCTCAACTCTGATATCTTTCATACTAACAATAACTAACTGTATATATTCCTTTATCATGTTATATTTTTTGCTGACTTTTGATAACACATAAATGCCTTATATTTATCTTTCTCGATTCTAATTCCATCAAAATAACAAAGACCAACATTTATATATTCTTGAATATCCTCTTTTATTAGCAGATCTTTGATAATATATGAATGCATTATGTTCATTCTTTTTACCTTTAGTGTTCATCACATTAGCAAATTTGTGAAAATAAATAAATATCATATGTTAGTTCCTGTTGACACCAATTCTATAATGATAAAAATAGCCAACATTAAATATTTCATCAACATTACCTATATTGGTGACTTTCTGGTAATATTTGAAGGTTCTATGTTCATTCTTTCGACTTCAATTCTATATTAATAACATTTTTTAGCATCAATTGTTAACCCGAATTAGCAACCTTTTTGAACATTCGAATGCTTTCTTCTTATTATCGCCTCCATCTTCATAAACTTTTGATCATGATTGGATAATATGTATTTATAAATGAAAAAAATCTCAAACATGTTGTGAACCGATTACAATTTAATAATAAATCCTCTAGATTGAATATAAATCGGATATCCGGTACTAATAGCAATAATTAAAAAGCGTTATCAAATTCTATTAGTCAAACCGCGAATTGCAAAGCATCCGTTCAAATCTGCGAATCATCAATCATCATGAATATGCAGATTGCAGATCAATCCGTATGGATAAGGATTTAATTTTGTGTAATCCGGATAATCCGAATTTGGACGGATCACATTACTAACTACTAGTGTTGTTAGATCAGATAGAATGTTTATTGTTAAAGTGGACTCCAATATCATACATATTGGTATTGTTAAGAAAATTAATAAGTTTGTATTTAGAAGAGGAGCTTTGAGTATTATCTTGTGTATTAAAATCACCAAGAATAATAGGGTGAATATGAAG